TGTACACAATAGTTATATGCTGACTGATTATCAATAAACTCCTGGGTCGCAATTACTCGCCTTAACATTAAAAAAAAAAAAAAATAATACCAAGATTTTAATTATAAAATATAAAATTACTATATATAAATTTATTAAATTATTTTAAAATAATTTTATTAATTAATAAATTACTTTTTTAAAATTATATTGTATTGATTATATTATATTGTATGATTGTATAAAAGTAATCTTATTTGATTACTCCTATATATTACTAAAAAGTACTAGATAAAATAAATAATTGTATATAACATTAATTATATTGTTTATATTTAAAATTTATAATTAGGAGTGTGATAACCTAGTGAAGTGGTCAGGTTATCAATTCTCCAAGTGGTAAGTTAGATGTTCAAATTCTATCAACAATAAAAATTTAAATAATTATCTATATAATATTTGTATTATAGCAACTGTTACTAATGATTGAATTAGGATATCTGTAATAGTAGTTGTATCAACATGAATGTTAGGTTATGGACATCTGTATAAATATGACATTATACAAAGGAATGCAAACTAACAAATCAGGTAATGCAAACACTAGATAAGTCCTTGTGACTATGTAAATCTGTTGAAATTGAATAACAAGAAGTCTATTTGTGAAGACCTAAGTAGAAAGATAGTCAGATCTTTGATGACCTACTGCAAAAACTAGTTCAGGAAAATAGATACCAAGGTTATAGTATCTGGTTATAGTAGTCAGACAGGCAAGAATCTCTGGATTGTGAGACTCGAAAATACCATCAACCAGGCTACTAAAATGAACTAAAAGAAAAAGATATCAGACCAACCTGATATACTAATAAACTGATTGTAATTCTATATAAACTATCTGAATAAGAAATTTTGTAAAAAGACAAATGAAAAAACAGAAGTATACTAAAGTATCAGGATTATGTTATGAATTAGATGCTAGAGTTTAAGTAAATTCTACAAGAGTATAGTGGTTTAATGGTTAAATTCTGACCACAAGTGTTGGTTCTGTCATAATGATATCTAGATCAACTGTAAAAATGAGTACAGAAAGCTCTGAGAACTTTACCTTGAAGATAAAATAGTCCTAAGGTTGAAATGTAAACTAGGCATCAGGTATAACCCAATGAAGTAAACAGGTTTGCAGGTTCAGAGAGTTTAAAATGAAATATCCAAGCAGAGGTGTTAGGTATGACAATTAGTAAAGAACCTCTAGACAGACTTCTTAAATAGGTAATATAAAAAAGTTACACATATAACCAATTGTATGCTCTTTCTGTAGTGATTTACTGAACCATATTTACCATTGTTAAATAAAGTTAAAAAACCCAAGAGATCACCTAAAAAAAAAATTTATAATTAAAAATTTTAAAAATTTAAAATAATATAATTAGAATATTACTAACTATAACCTATAATAATCATTACCTAGGAGCTATATTTGGTAAAATTCATTAATACTAACCAAATATTTATCATACACTGGCAAACCAACATTGATATAAAACCACTCCACTTCCTAGAGTTCCAATCTGGATCATTCTGTCATTCATTTATCTGATATAATAACAGTAATTTTATTTACAAACTTGCTCGTCTTTTAAATTTGTCATTATCTTTCTGCAATTTTTCGGAGCTTTACTTGATTCTAATTGTTAACTTCACTCAGCACTATACTTATATAAGGAACATATTTATCAAGCAATATTCCTCAAAAAAATTTTTTATGAGAACATAGCTTAACGTGACGAATGTTCACAAATCCAAAGATATGTTCTCTTGAGAACACTGGCTGTCACGTAAGCCGAGCCGGCTCATATCGGCTCCATCGGTTTGGCTGTGGCTAAGCCGACTTACTATAAGCCGATCACAACCTTACACTTAATCCTTTAGTATAACCACCAAAATCATCCACTAATTAAAATTAGAGCATTATAATTAAAAGCTAAACAAAAGCACAACTTAAAAATGTGAGGGCCTTTGTAGTAGAAGAGCCCAAAAAATATGATTTTGAGATAATCAAGCTTATTGTTATTGGAACTTTTGGCGTTCAATGGTTAATAATTTCGAATGATTTACAGTACAAGTCTCCTAAAATTTTTTTATGCCAATCGATTTTCACGCCGGAATCTTACAAAACATTATTATTCCTTTCTATTCTTTGGTAGTCTTAAAAACTTGTGTTTCACAAAAATTGAAACTGCGCCATAAATACCGCGAGTAAATAATTAAGACACTGCAGATGTCGAGGCTTTGAATTTTCAGTTATGTCATGTGGCTTGTCGGCCTAATTAATAATTTCGGTAGAGTAAACAGAAGCAAGCTAAATCATCCTCAATGAAAGATACGCGTGGCAGTGTGATGGAATTCTAAGCGAAACATTAAGAAAATCTCTTTTAATCATACTTCTAAGAAGATATCTAAAAGCCATAGTACCGAGAGCAGTTGATTACGACCCTTATGTGTGGTAAGAATCGCTGTAATAAATTTATTACAAGACCCATAGTCACGTCTCTGATGGTTGCCTTACCCCATAGTCACGTCTCTGATGGTTGCCTTACCCCATTTCCCTGTATTAGTTTATATACATTAAACCAATCCCGTGGCAGTATCCAATTTTCTACCTAGTATAAATTTCGTTAATAGTTTTTAAACTATTTCCTTTGTTGTAAGAATATTGTAGGTTTAACAAATCATGCGCCTACATGTAAATCTATCAATTAACCAGTTCCTAATGTAATTATGTTATTCCAAAGTTCATTATCTACCATTGAATTTAGTGCATCAAACGGTCGACCTAAATATCATGTTATATTTTCTTTTATTGTATAGGTCATGACTCATCCCTAAGCATGAAAGACAGTTTCTTATTAGCTTTTTAATTTTTCTTTTCGGATCATTATTTAAATTAAATAGTACTTTATTTTATCTTAAAAATCTCGCCTACATCTTGACATTTGTTTGAAAGAAGTCATTATCAATATTTTTACTTATAAATCACACAAAAAAAATGCATGAATTTTTTTCTAAACTCAATTGCTGTTAATTACATATATAATGAAGTATTTAAATACGCCAATGTAAATATATATGCAGCAAAAAAAGATCTCTTGCAGTGTAGGTGACCCCTTTGATAAAGTATAATATTGATCAATTGATTATAAAGTAGGTCAGCTATATTATAAGAAATCCACAACAACATTCTTCATTATGTTTAATAATTGTGTATCAATCGATGGTTTTTCCTTCCCTAACAGTTCGTGTGCCTTCTCTGGTAATTTTCCTGATTGCTACCTGATAATATTTATCAATTATTTCTATCTGTGCTTGATAACATCTAAGAAATGAATCAATTGCTATTCTTGGATTAAGATACTCCTCTTCGAAAAAATCCCACTCGTAATCGTCAAGAATCATGATTCCACCTTCTTTTAAGAGATTCCATGATAAAACAGCATCTGATAACACATCATGAGATTCGTGAGAACCATCAATATAAATGAAGTCAAATTTTAACTTATTTTCATGGTTCAGTTTAATAAGAGTATTAAATGATTTGCTTTTAATAACCTCGATTTGGTTCTCTTTACGAGTCTTTTTAATATTTTCATGGAAAGTTGTTTCATTATCGTTGTCGGGAAATATCTTTAGAAAAATATCGATAGTGATTAATTTGGACTCGGGATTTTTAAATAATTCTTCCAAAATCCAAGTAGTGGATCTTCCTTCGAAAGCTCCTATTTCAAGTACATTTATTTTCTGGTTTTTAAGATAGAACAGATTCTTTTCCCAATAAGGAAGGTGTGGTTTAAGCCAATCGTGCGTAAATTTGAATTTTCTATTCTCGTCTTTTACTTGTTCTTTGATTTCCATATGCTTAACTTCTTCTTTCGGTCTAGACATTTTTTTTGAGCTCCACATACATTCAAAAAATATCTTTTTTAACCATAAACTTTATGAAAATTTTTGTAAATTTTGCTAATAAAATAAACTTTAGGAATTTAGTCAAAATGATATCGTTAAACTACAAGAGCAGATGCCCAGTGTAATTATAGTTTATGTCATAAAATTTACTATTATTACATTATGACCGCCTTAGTCATATAAAATTGAATGAGTCAAAATGGTCAACGTTGATGGTGCAATTAAACCATAACCAGTGACGTAATACGTAATTACACTACTCTCTCTCATGTTTGGCAAAATCGTTCGACATTTTAGGCAGGTTATTTGTACTCTGTATTAAATGCTCAAATTGAAAGTTCATAAGTTATACAACTCATTTAATGTTTCCAGACTGAATAAATCGCAGTTGTAATTATGTCAAGCAGTATCTGGTACAACATAACAGATAAAGCTATTTATATAGCAAAAATTCTCGGTATGATTATTATATATATTAGCACTTAATATTTTAAGACATTTATTTATCAGTACAATATAGTGTAAGCACTATAACGACATTTAAAATTTTTAAGGATCTCGTGAATAAGCTTAAATTGCAAAAAAAGGTGGTCAAATTTTTTTGAATATAAATTATTTAAACATAGCGATCCTTAAATTAATTTATATATTTATATAAACAACCTAAGAACTAAGTGTCTTCCGCAGCATTTCGATAACACACAAATGCTTTTTCTTCATCAATTTCAGTTCCTATTCCTAAATTATAACAATCACCAAGTCTATTATATGCCTTTATGTATCCATTCTCAATTGATATTTTATATAATTCAAAAGCCAACTTTTCGTTTTTTTCGGTTCCTATACCATTTTCATAACATGATGCAAGGTTATGTTGCCCTACGGGTAATCCTTTCTCTGCAGCTTTTTTATAATACATGAATGCCTTTTCTCTATCCTTTTCAACACCATTACCTGTATCATAACAATAACCAAGATTATTATATCCAGCAATATCTTCTTTTTCAGCCGAACTTTGAAAAAATTTAAAAGCCTTTTCATAATTTTTTTCAATCCATCTTCCGTTACTATAACAATGTCCCAGAAAACATTGAACTAACGGATTTTCTTGATTATTTAAACACCAATTAATGATAAATTCTGGTTTTTGTTGTTTTTTCTTGAAAAATTGATCCATTAAGTCATAAATCATCAAGATATATTTTCCTTTCATTCTTTCTTCATTATATAAATCACATAATTCTTTTACAATTTGCCTATAAAAATCTTGTGAAGAGTTACTATCTTTTGAATTTAAAGAATCTAAATCAAGGTTATCATCTTCCATGACCAACTTCTTATTATTGTGTGTTAATTGATCAAGATCAGATTGTATAGTGTTGCTAGTTTCTGGCAATTCATTAACGGAAAATAAATTATTTTTTATAGCCTTATTTTCATTATGTATTGATTCGGTTTTCAGTTGTTCAAAAGAAAGAACAACATCTTGAATGTTGGGACGTTTTTTTGGATCTTTCTGCCAACAATCTAACAGCATAAAATGTATTAAAAAATTAAATAATACAACCATTTCCAATTCGCTTGTAAATATAGTCATGTAGCATACCAGTATATAAAATAGCATATGATATTGGTGTTCCTTCGATAAACTTTTCTCTAACACCATCTAATATATCGACCATTAATTCAGAAAGTTTACCTGTTCCATTAATTGCTTCAAATGGTGGATAGCCACTAGAAATCTCCCATAAAAGTACGCCTAAACTATAAATATCGGACTTTTTGTTTACCTTGCATGGTTCTTTATGTTGAAATAATTGAGGATCTATATATGGTAAAGCTTTTGGAAACTTATTAAACAAGTTGTAAACATCAAACAATCGTCCGGAAAGTCCAAAATCTGCAATTTTAATGATATCTTTGTGTATTAAAATGTTATTTGAATGCTATATATGATTATTAATTTATAAAAAGAATTAAATGGTGAATTAGAATATTATGTTATAAAATGAAAAAAAGCAAATCATCAATAACGAATTATAAATCTTTTTAAAATCATTTAATTACAAGATTTCCGTGTATGATTTCTTTTTCATGCATAAACTTGACACCATTAACAAGTTGTTGTGCTAAATTTAATTTACGTTCCCAATTTAATTTATTGAAAGTGTTTCGTAAATAAGTTGTAATCGTTCCATCACCGGCATACTCAAGAACTAATAAGTATTGAGATCCTAAAAATTTATAAAATAATTTGAGCATATTTGTACGTTCGAAATTCAAATTTCAACAATAGAAAGAAAACCAAACTTTAAGTCATTATATGCAAATAAGTTCAAAAAAGTAATGTAAAAAAGACAATCAAAATAATGCTCTATATCATACTTTGATACTTCGGCATCTTTTGCTGAAATTTATATTCTCTCAAATCTATAAATGTAATAATAATTAAGATGAAGATCTTACTATACCTTCATTCTTAGTAACGCCGTAAAATTTAATAAAATTATCGTGCATTATGTCTTTATATAAATTAATCTTTAGCATGTATATTGAAAAGAGTTAGAATATGGATATCATAAATAAAAATCAAAGAATATTATATTAAATTACTTCATTTAAAATTTCTTTGGCGGTAATCATATCGATATTTTCAAATGATTTCAAAGCGACACCGATGTCAGACATGTCTGCAGCTGCATGATATGTGCTTCCAAACGTTCCAGAACCAATAAACTGAATATTTTTAAATACACAATAGTCAATAAATTTATCTATTACCAACGTTTCTTTTAGCAATTCATTAAATGAAACATTTGCTTTAGTCGATGAATCTTTAAAGGTCATGTTTGTTTTTATTTTAAATAGAGAAATTGCGAGAGTCGAAAATTTTTTCATTTAGCATTTATATCGATGTTTACGTAATCGCAAATCTTTTTTGTGTAATGTACTGTATACGCACATACGTACGTACGGTGCACAGTATTCCTAGCTTCGTAAATTTTCTGATCAGCATTTTTCCATGATATTCTTTTGTTTTTAATTGCGGAACAGACTCAATTATATCTTAAAATTATTAAAATTGCAGTTAAATGTTTTAATAGCTTTAAATGTTGCATTATGATAATTCTTAAAATCTAAGTGCATAAAGCATGATTAAATATTCATTACGTACTTTATCAGCGCAAAATAACACTCGTGGACGTTCAATAGACACTTCACGATAAAATAATCCATTTGCGAACTTGCTAACATCAAATCACACAAGTAACTTGCTTGTTAAACAGATGGAATGCTGTTAATTTTTAACATTACTGTAAAATTGGTATGATTGGGAAGGTACGTCTAGTGGCTAGAATTATAGGAAAGTTCATCTGGGCTAACGAGTGCATAGGAAGGAGAAACGAATTTAAATGTAAATTTATAAAAAGTAAAGCATCAAGTTTATTCTTTTTGAAATAAATTATAATTGTCAATTACATCAAGAATAAAAGCTTTGTTGGACTACACATTGAAGCATTTAAAAAAAAAATAATTCTTAAATTATTATTTCTTTCAATTAACAACTATTAAACTAAATATAAATAGAATGTTAATATTAATAAGTATAAGTTTAAAATTATTATTTTATACAAAACACAATTTGAAATTGCATAATCTATAGTCTGTAATACACTTTGATTATATTCTATTTTCTATTTGGTCATAATAAGATGTTTCAAAATTAAAATTAAAGAATTTTATTTTATTTTCTGATTTATAATTCAATATAGTAAAAATATTATTCAAAAAAACTTATTATGTTTATTTTTAGAATATAATACTTATTTATTAATTTTGAAATCTTCAAATATTTTTTTTTTTTTTTTGCTCTTAAGCAGCCACGCTAGTACTTTATTAAGATTCTTGCAACTATATACAATAACTACA